ATCATCCAATTTTTTTTAGCGCATAATTTTTGGGGCGGGTTAGAACCGCCTCTACGTTCGGAAGTTTGCAAATTTATAGAACCGCCCCAAACTATAAAATTCATAATTTGTACGGTTGTAACCACCTCTACGTTCCATATTTTATAATTCGTGTGGAATAAATGAATTTTGTTCCAAATTTATATGGATTTTATAATTCATCCTTTGAATTCAATTTTTTTTATTTTATCAAAAAACAAATAAATGAAAAAAGAAAGTTAATCTTGTTGAATGCAAATAAAAGAAAAATTATATAGCTTACACAATATTCTTAAATTTGTAATCATTAAACTTCAAATACATAAAAGTCGTCAAACATTCACATGTAAAAATAATAATAATAAAAATAAAACTAAAGGATTAAACACTTGTTCGAAATACATGGTGACATTCCACTTCAAAACTATGCTTGGTCAATACCGCTTGTAATCGATATAAGGAAAGGTCTGTGACGGACTTCGGGTGAAAATGTTGACATTTCCAGAGAGGTTCCCACACTACTTATTTTCAATATTCAACTTTCGAGCTGATAAGGACCTTACTCTTATCTCTTGCTTTGCTAATGAGGGTACCGGAGCCTTAGGAGTATATGAATTCTTAACTCGAGCCAATGGATCGTGGATGTAGAACACGCCAATAAGTTAAATTGACACATATCCTTATAAGAAAGATATAAAAACAATTCTTAAACATTTTAAAGTTCTCGATTTAATCAAACATTCTTTTTCACCAATATTGTATTTCAATTTTTAATAAAGATTGTGTATATCTCACTTCATGAAAAGTGTGGTTAGATCCGAGTTAGCCCTAAGAAGCAAGACATCCTATGCACGTTCATCATAACAAGTTTCGGGATCCAAGCGAGTACTTGTCTAATCCATGAACTAACACTAAATACTGTGTGTGTGGAACAACAAAATGTCCGAAAAGGAACAACATATCCTTAATTTCTAAATGTTATCGACCAATTATGGTCCCTCTAAAGTCGAATCACAGGGGAGAATTTGGAAACAAACCTTCCTTTTCATATTTTCGCATGAAGTGGCAGCCACTTAAAACTTGAATAAATACCTTTATAGCTACAAGTCAAACACATTTTTCCATTGACCTATCATACCTTAATTCTTATTCGGGTAACTATTCATTTGTTTAAATAGATCTTTTTTTTATTATTACTTTCTCTATAGCCTTAACAACAAAGTGAAAGCAAGACATGATAAAAAAGCCCTTCAAACAAGAAGTCCAAAGGGACTTTGTATCTTGGTTTACGCCAAATAGTCGTGTTAAAGAAGTAAACATCCTATAAGATGTGGTTTGACATATACTCCATTCCATATTTGGAGTTCGAAAATTGAAACAGAATAAAGTAGCAGAAATCTAACTTGAGCACCAAAGTAAGCAAGCTCGACGAGCTTCTTCAAATGTCGAGTAAGGCATAGGCTCGCATGTGGATAAATAGTAGGATCACAAGTCAATACACCATCAATATCCTTCCACACCATTACAATTGGGGATTCTAATAGGTTTATAAGGATGTTACGAGTTCTCAATATGCAATCGATATAAATTTTGGCATATCAAGTCCAAGAACATGCAAGCAAACACGACATGTGCAAATAAGTTCTTGAAGGAACAATCTAATCCGACCTAGATCTCTTGTAAGCCTAATGCTTTACCAATGCTTATTGTTGTCAAATCATCGCCACCCCTACCCAAGGTAGTAATTGCACCGAGTTTTCCAGCCCTACCATCGGAGAAGGATATAATATTCATGAAGCCTCACTAAAAGAATCCGATTCAAATGGAATTCTAATTTATGGAATCTTGGGTTTTATATCCGAATACGGTAGTTAGCCAAAAACAAAAACCACTTTCCCAAGGAAGCCATTTACAATAGGAATTGTAAGATCATCAATCCAGTTGGCATGTACTATCCCGGCAACGACGGGATAAGTTGCTTCCAAGATGTCCGCATTTGTGAAGTCATTCATTGTAATAAAGCCAATATCAAATGCATCATATTGCAAAAAGAAAAAAAATTGATATATATATATTTATATATATGTTAACTTCAGTGAGAAAAAGGAGAGTTAAATGCGAGGCTATGTGATGAATTAAAAGCGAGAGAAATAGTTTTTCATTAAAAATAGCATCTTCTCAATCTCAGTTATTTCTTTATGTCATCGTCATCCATTAATCAACATATATTATGCTACCACTTTTTTCTAGCAGGTTATTTTTGCTCTAAGGTGGTGTGACAATGTGTCTTTTCCCTAGACTCAAAAACACTACCCAAACAAATAGAAGAACCAAAATTGACATCTATTTAAAATTAAACAAGGAAGTAAAATGGCTAGTGCAGAAATTTACGTACTTGGTGTGCTCGACACCAATTTTATTGAGATAAGCTACAAAGATTCTTGTAGACATGCACTCTCCAAATGAAACTAGATAGTCTATTGTTCGAGGAGTCAATTCTTTCATCATAGCTATGCCCTTAAGAAGTTGCTCTAGTTCTTCTATGTGAATTGTTGGAAAAAGCGCAACCAAGATACACTCGTGTTAATAAACAATTAACTCCCATTCCCTTGCACAAGATTAGAAATTTCAATGGATTATTTTTTTCTATAAAAACCATTCATGTTACTGCTCGCTAATTTATGCCAAATTATATAGGAGGTCTTCATAATTAACAAGCGAGGTCATGGAATCAAGAGCGAACGAAATGTTATAAATTCATTCTAAAAAAAAACCTTACAAAATTAAATAACTAATAAAGCCGAGAAAAGTAATCCGCTTAACCTAACAAGTCTTAGCTCATAAGTTAAAGAATGAAAAAAAGTATCTCACCGAAATAACAGAACTATTAACTCCAAGTTCCTTTACGATCTCGATTGAATAAACCAAAACTACACAAACTTTAATTAGCATAGAAAGGGGTGGGGGGTGGGGAAGGGGGAAAAATTGACACAAAAGAGATAAGAAAAGCTAATAAACAAACCTAAAATGCGGTTCTTTTATAAAACTCAACTCCTTAATTTCTAATGGATTAGAAACACCGCAACTCACGAGCTTTCTCTCCCACTCGAATACACCTTAAAAGCTTGTTAGTAGTCTTGCCCATAGCAGAGAGGACAACAATAGGCCTTTCTTCATGGAAGCCGAGAATCAAATCAGCAATTTCTCTCATTCTAAATTTAGCATACGTACCATTAAAGAAGGACGAAGCGAGAGGAGAATAACAAACAAGCAAAGGAGAAGAACCACAAAGCGAGAGGAGAAGAAAAACCCAAAGAGGAGAGGGATAATATAGCGTTCTTATCCTAAAAAAAGAAAAAGAAAAAAGAAGCGAGAAGATGGAAGAAGCTATAAGGGACCAGCTACGGGTGTGAGTGAGGCAAAAGAAGAAGGAGTTGCGAGGTTAGCGAAGGAATAGAAGAGGAAGCGAGAGAAAGAAGAGAGTGACATAGAGGAAAAGAGAGGATTTGAGAATGATTTTCATTAATTGATAAGGTACCACAATGCGTTTTGGGATCTCGACGGAAGCGAGAGGAGAAGAAATTAAAAATGAAACCGCAAAACCCTTGTGAATCGAAGAAGCGAGAGAGAACAAATCGAATAAGCAAAGGAAGAGAAGGCTGCAAAACCCTAAGGAGATAAGGAAAAATGAAACGGCGCCCTTCCTTTCAGAACCAAATTAAAAAAATAATAATGATATATATTATGAAATAAAAGCCATGCGTGCCTCTCTTTAAACCTTGGGGTGGTTTTGTAAACCACCTTAAATTTATTTTATAAAAGTCCCGTTGCAAGTATAACTGCTGAAAGACTTTGAGGCAATTTATAAGACCACCTCAACCTTTCCGCCTCTATATCATTTTTATGTTATAGTGTTTTAAGTGAGATATTTATTTCATATTGAAAAGGAAAGAAAAGAAAAAGAAGCACTTTATAAATAGACATCTTGTAAACGTTTTAAATTGAAAGAATTTGGAGGGAATTTAAATTGGAAGAGGGAAGCTAGTGGATGAAATTAAATATATTTAATAATCAAAGGAGTAGTACTTGGCATGTGTAATTAATTAATTATAGATTTATTTTTTTGTTAAAGTAAATTCATAATTAATTATGTTTTTCTGTGATAATTAAACATGATTATTGAATTATGATTGTTAAAAAGCGACAGTCAATCATTGAATCACACTCGATTTTTCAACGATCATATTGGTTATAAAAGGCTTCTAGTAATCTATAAATAGATGATTACTATTAAGAAAATTATTAATTCTTTCTTATGCAATCCTCCTCTTTCTTCTCCTCTCAAAACTCTTATCTTCATAAAATTTTACAACTTTAAAAAAGAAATTTTTTTGAAGGAATTTTAGGAGTGTTGTACGTAATTCCTTAGGTATAAAGTTGAATCCTAGAGATGAATTACTTAAATTTATACAGTATTATAATAGAGACAATAATCACCTTAAAATAATGTACGAGATATTTTTAATTAAATATTATGTTTTCTTGTTTTTATTTCTAAATTTCTATATCTACTTTAGAAATATTCAACACAATAAAGTCAGGTTGATCAAAGATAAAAGACATTAATGAAGTATGTCTTAATGACACTCACCGAAAACCCCAACTGCCATCTCTAAAAGCAGTTGGCTATATTGATTGATACAACAAGTAAAAACATGATTTACAACCTGCATGCAGACTTTTAGTTCCTCCAATTTAAGACCAATCGCCCCTCTTACCCTTTAACCTATCTTTTTTACTTTCACGAACGAAGTTCGTTTACTTGTAATCCATGCCAACTTACTTTTTTTGGTCCAATTTAAGGGCATCCACCTATTTTTGCTTTAGCACTTTAGACATATAACTCTCTCTGCTTCTCTCAAATAACTCCCACTTGCCCTTGTTTGCATTTGCTCATGTAATTCTTTATCTCTGTGGCCGGAATGGAGAAAGTTACTTCAATATGTGGTGCAAGCGTGAAGAGGTATAGGAGAAGAAGGCTATACCGGAGGCTGAGTGAGAAGAAAAATTTGAGAGGCCGGAGCAGTTGGAAGGTTTGGAGGATCAGAGTCATGCCAAAACTGCAGCAGAAAAACAAGTTACAAATGAAGCTTTGGAGAAGGTTTAGAGATGGTTACGTTAAAAGGATGCTTTGTTTTGCCCGACAGTTCGTGCAGCTAAACAATGGCACTGTTTTCTTGTTTAACAAGATTTCAAAGGCTCCTCGTCAGTTGTTGAGAAATTAATCAAGGCCAGCATCTCATTTCATAAGCTCAAATAGCTAGTACAAGTGTTGGTTTTTCTTTCTTTCCCCCTTCTCTCCTTTTCTCACATGTTAGAGAAGCGAATGCAAGGCATAATTTGAAAAGATTTTGATTTTTTTTTTTTTTTTTTTTTTTTTTTTTTGCAATACTGTGCCGTTATATTATGGATATATTGTTATCTACTTTTAATTTTTGTTTTCATGCTTTTTCTCCCTTTTTGTTCTTGTACAGAATCTTGTGCTTAGTTTAGCTGTATGCATGCTGATTGTTGTCTGTTGTTTATTCTTTTTCCAAGCTAACAAATTTCCCTTTCCATTTTCTAATCTAATGATCTAATAACCTAAAATTAGAGACTAATGAAGAAACTGCATCCAGCATCAGTATTTTCTGTGAAATTTCTGATTTTGTGGTGCAAATTTTAAGCATCGTCTTGTTGACCAGTGTGGTATGTCAAATAATGCAATAGAGGTAACACATCATGTAGCCTTATAATCGAAAATTTTTAAAATATTCCAGAAATAAGATAGAGAGAGGGAAAAAAAAAGAAGAAAATCACATCAAATACAAAATAACAATAATAATAATAATAATTCTTCCTAAACTCATTTCTTTTTTAATTTTATCTATCATATTTATCTTTTCTCTCTTTCTCCCTATATATATATTCTTACAGTAATATAAAATTTTAATAAAATGAATTTATCAAATAAATGAATAAATAAATAAATAAACACTAGAGTTATTTTTTTTTCTTATTTAGAATGTCCACATGAGATTCGGTTTCATCACATTCTTAATAGTAATTAGTTTGGTTGTAAATTGTCTAATAATATCATTTTCACCCTAACTTTCTGACCATCAATATCTGGTTTCAAATGGATGGCACCACAAAATTCCACTAGCTTCTTTTGGAAAAATGTAATTTTGTTTATGTTAATGATAATACATTATCATTCAAATAAAGATGATAAATATAAAAATTGAATCTATATAAATGAAAATTCAATCTAACTGAATGAAAAAGAGACTTAATAACTAAAGTAATAATTAAAGATGTTATGAAATAATAAATGTCCATATTAATATTTATATACTTTTCATATCTTCACTACTCATAATTCTTAATGTGATTCAATTTATCATTTAATATGAGAAATTGAAAGGGTGTTGCGATTGAGTTAATAATTTATGTATTTTTATTTGTTCATAGTTTTTTTCAATTCTCTTTCAATTTTGAAGTCTATAAATAGGCTTGATTGTTCATTGCTTGATACACAAGTATTTTGTAGAGATTAAGAGAATTATGTAAAGTTGTTATCTCTTGTATTCACTTTATTTTATAGTGAATTTATTTTTCTATCATCTTTCTTTTCAATTCTACTATTATTACTATTTTTTTTATAACATGTTATCAACACGAAGCTCTATCCAAATAATAGACCATGAGGTATGTATCTATTAAAAGACTTGATCATTTATTTCAAACATTGAATTTTATCTACATAAGTGCTCTATCAAAAGATCTAAATTATTTAGATCTTTAAGAGTAAGAGACATATATATAATTTATCATATACTTTAAATCGATGATATATAGAGTATATATTTAAAAAACTTAAATGATTTAATATATAAAATCTAATGATTAATATATATTGTTTGAAAAGTTTAAATTTTATTATTATGCTTGGTTTTAATTTTATTATTATATTTTGTTTTTATGTCCTAATATTATTATTATACTTTGCATTATAGAATTTTTTTGATATCCAACCTCACAAAACTTGAATTTGTTGCCCTTAACATTTTGGGCAAGAATTATTGATCATGTGTGCTTGATGCTAAGTAAATATTCTCTACTTTTCATATCTCGAATATGCTCCTGCAATAGCATATCGAAAAAAAGTTTAAGAAATATTACGAATCGACTTCATAATTGCTCATACTAAATAAAATAACAAACTATTAATGAAAAAGAATAAATCTCGTCCAATTGGATCTACTCCATTTCTTGAAGTGAATGTGACAACTTATAATAATTTTGAGTATGGACGAAGATGTGGTTATAGCTATGGACATGGTTGGAGTAATTATCATATAATTATGATGACCATAATAATACATCTCACCACCGAAGTGGATAACTATAAAAAACAAGAAAATAATAAAAAATGGATCAAGTCAGTATTCTAAAAATGAATGTTATAGATGCGGCATAAACAAATATTGGTCGCATACCTGTCATACACCAAATCACCTTATTGAGCCCCGTCAAGCCTCGTTGAAAAAAAAAGAGTAAAATATAGAGGTCAATTTTATATATCAAAATGGTGGGAATTGAAATTAATAATTTTTGAACTTTTCTAGTTATAAATAAGATGTTTTATATTTTCTTATAATTTATATTGCAAAGAGATAGATATAAATTTATTTATTTGTGTTTATGAAGAATATATTTATTTTAACTTTTATGTTTATTTATTTAATTATTTATTTTATGCTAATATTATATATGATAATATCAATCTAACAAAAAAACTCCGGAAGAGCGACTATATTATTACTTGAAAAGGCAAATTTTGAAGGATTTAGAAGAGCGAATATATTATTACTTGAAGAGATAACTTGTAAAGACTCTAGAAGAGTAAATATATTATTACTTAAAATGACATAATTTAAAAGCTTCAAAAGGGTAAATTTTATTATAAATGATGCATCATTCTCTCTAAAGTCTCATAAAAATTTGTTAAGTTTCGGAGATATTTGTCTAAATGGATATCATATGAAGACAACAAATATGAAAAATATTGAGTTCTTCAATGTTATAATTACATCAAATAGAAAATATGTGTTGGAAAAATTGCCCACTTTCTCTTTTGATCTTTATTACAAACATTGGAATGATTGAAACAAATACTATAGTAAACCAGGAGTTTACTAATTCAAATACTTTTATTATGTGGTATGACCAATTGGATCTTTCATGATGCAAAAAAATAAAAAATAATAATAAAATTTAAAATTTAAAATTCATATGGACTTTTATTGAAGTGCTCTAGAAGATTCTTCGATTTAATGAATTTTAATGTTTTGCATGTTCTTAAGGTAACTTGATTATTAAACAATCACCAAGTAAAATTGAGATTAAATATTCAGTATTTTTAGAATGTATTCAAGGTGATATATGTGCATTAATTCATCCACCATTTGAATCATTTAGATATTTTATGATTTTAATAGATGCATCCATAAAATGATCACATGTATATTTATTATCTAGTCAAAATCCGACATTTTTTAGATTGCCGAGCCAAATAATTCAATTACAAGCAAATTTCTAAATTATGCTATTAAAATCATTCACCTTGATAATGATGGTGAATTTATCATCTAAGCATTAAGTGATTATTGATTGGCTATTGGAATAAAGGTTAAACATCCTACTCGCTTATGTTCATACTTAGAAGGGTTTAGCAAAATCATTTATCAAAAGGCTCTAATTGATAGCTAAACTATTATTTAAAAACAAAACTTCCTGTTTATAGTTGGGGACATGCAATCTTACATGCAACAACCCTTATTTGTATCAAACCCATAAGTTATTAGAAATTCTCTCCCCTTTAATTAGTTTATGATCATGAGCTAAATATTTCTTATTTAAGAATTTTTGGCATTGTAGTATATATCCATAGTACTCCTTCATAAAGAACTAAAATTGGCACTTAAAGGAGATTGAGAATATATGTTGGATTTGAATCCTCTTCGATAATTACATATCTTGAACCATGAATGAGATATATTTTTATAGCTTGATTCACCGACTATTATTTTGATGAAACAATTTTTCTAACATTAAAGGAAGAGAATAAGCAAAAGAAATAATTGGAAATGTTGAAAAAAAAGATTACATGGAGTACTATATCTTTATATCATCTTGATTATCGTATAAAACAATGCAAACTAAAAGTTCAGTAGATAACTCATTTATAAGGTATTACAAATCTACCATATGCATTCTAAGATACTAAAAGAGTAACTAAACTATATGTCTCCATTGAAAATGCTCATATTAGCATTGATGTCCTAGAAGGATAATCTATTAATTTTATAGCAAATGAATCTAAGCACACCCAAATAGTGGAAGATCGATATATTCTAAAGCCAAAAATTCTCGAAAGAAAAGGGCAAAAACTAAAAATATAAATATAAAGGAAGTAAATATTCATAAAATGGTCCAAGATATTTTTAATAATAGACTTTTGGAAGAAGTCCATTTGCTTGAGAAAAATTAAGAAACTTCAATAAATTATGTTAATACAAAGAGAAAATAGGACCAAAAGGAAACATTTTTACATATAACATTGCAATTAATATTTTGAATGAAAATAAGGATTCCGAGCCTAAATTTATTGAAGAATATCAATATAGAGATGATTATCCTAATTGAAAAGAGCAATCCAAGCAGAATTATGTTCTTTTACAAATGAATAGTTTTTGAACCCACAATCAAAACACTCGAACATGTTAAGCCAATAGGATATAGATGGGTATTTATGCAAAAGTAGAATAAGAAAGATGAGATTATGAGATATAAATCAAAACTTGTAACATAATGGTTTTCACAAAGACTTGACATTGACTATGAGGAAACATATTTTTCTATAATAGATTCAATTACATTTCGTTATCTCATTAGCCTAGAAAAATATATAAAAAACTTAATATGCATGCATTTAATGGATGTCATCACAACTTATTTATTTAGTTAAAAATAATATCTATGTAAAGGTCCTAGAAAAACTTAAGATGCCCGAAGCATGTAATACATATTATCGAGAAATAAATTCAATTAAATTATAGAGATCTTTATCAAGATTATTTTAGTATTTTTTTATTATTTTAATTTTTAGAAATTTAATTTATGCTATACTTTTTATATTTATATATTTTTTTCTCAATATCTACTCTTTATTACTAACCTA